ACTATAATTTAATTTAATAATTTGTATGTATTAATTTAATACATTAAATTATTATAGAGCAAAATTTTAAATTTTTTTTATTATTATTATTTAATTTTTTTCTAAATAAAATCAATAATTTATTTTTTAAAATTTATTTTAATTAGGATTGTATTTTGTATCTTTGTTTATAAAGTAATATCACTCATACAAATTGTTGTTGTCACAGGAAAAAATTACATTGATTTAAAAACAAAAAAATAAAAAAAAAAAAATCACGAATAAAGATCTAGAAAGTAGATTCTAGATTCTAAACATTCTAATGTTAAAGCGTTTAATACATATAATACAGCCTTAAAAAAAAAGAAAAAAAAATTATATATTTTGTAGTAAAAATAAAACCGAAAGCAATACAAAATATTCCTAAAACTAGATCCTGTGGTTCCTGTTCAATATCCTGTAAAAGCTGAATAGCCGGTTCTAATTTTGGGACAATTCAGATTTGAGAGAGTTATAATTTTTGAGATTCTATGGTATTTCGAGTAGAGAAAAGAGAAGGAAAGAGGGCCTTCGATTCCGATTGCTGATGGGTCGGAAAAAGAGTATTTAGAGCAGCGTCACAATTATTTCGATTAGCGATGAGGGAATGGGGGAATTACTGATGCAAAAAGTAGGCGAAGGGCCACAGAAGGGCCACAAGAGAACAGGGGAAACGAGAGCAGTGGCGTGGTGAGGGGGGAGCATGGTTTTAATAGGTTCTTATCTCTCTCTCCCCCAAACCCTCTCCAATGTTGGGCTTTCCGTTTACTCTTTCGCTTTGTTTTTCTTTATTAACGTGTCCTTAAAATAATAAACCTCCCCCCCTCACCACTCTCTCTCCCACGCCCCGTCTCTGTTTGTAATTTATCTCTGTCATTGTTTGATTAAATCAATTATATTTATAACCCATACACAATGGCAGGCCCCGCCCCCTCCCTGTGCGCCCCTGTGCGAGCCCCCCCCGCTGTAATACATACATTAATAATTACGCCGTTATCCGTTCCCCTAATTGCGTTGGTCATTTAAAACGTAAATCGCCTAAAAACGGGCAACGGGCATCGGGCATCGGGCATCGGTCTATGGGCTTTTTGTGGAAACCAATTGAAATTTTGGTAACGCTTTTTGCTGGGCAAGGGGTGGGGTATGGATTGTGGCCCTTTGAAATGAATTTCCCCTCCGTCATTGATTTGCAATTATGACTAAAAGGCCCCAGCCCCCCCCCACCCCCTCCAAACGGCGAAGGCAGCAGCTGTTTCCGTCGGTGCGGCGCTGCGGCAGCTAATCTGCACACAGATCTAACAATGCCACACGGCTACACCCCCCCATCAGAAATTAGCGGTGGGGGAGGGCCTGAAAGTCGTGAGGGAGGAGCCACTGGCTTCCATCGTGACACGCTGCCATCTCGAATCGGTGCAACCACTGCCCCCCCCCCCCCCCCCCCCCCCCCCCCCCCTTGGAAATCCTAGTCCTGTTGACTTTGACTTGTCGCGCGACATGAAACGATTAAGCCAGAAAACGCTTTTAGCCATTGGCTTTAGAGCCAGAGTTCGGGTCCGAGGTGTTTGTTGGTTTTGGCTCTGCAGAGGGGGGAAGGGGGGCGGAGAGGTGGTGGGTGGGTGGACACACATTTATATTATCGTATGATTGATCACAATTTTCCAAAGTAATTAGGGGCGCCCCCCCACTCTCCCACTCTCCCCCTCTCTCCCAGAGGAGCGGAAAGGGGGAGGCTTTAAGCGTAATTGCTTTGTAAATAATTCTCTGGCCAACAGAGTGTCACTGGACCCCCTCGCCACCCCTGCTGCCCTGGACACTCATTAAAAGGTGGAAAATAATAAGAGATTTTTAAATAAAAATATAGATCAATCTTTTGGCTGTCCCAGAAACCAATTGAAATCGGAAAACCTTTTGCTTTGGCCATAAATCAGTTTTTATTCATTCGATTTTCGACCCAAAACCGTGAGGCCGGGGCTCTTAGCATTCAGTATTGGGCATTAAATTTAATTAACCTTTGCCCTAAGAGGTTTTCTTGCCACCGCGCCACACCCCCGCTTAGGAGAATCCCACCCATCAACGACTGCCATTACAAACCGCATCAAAATACACGCGCGTGCTCGTGCCACACGATGCGGCCGCTGGCTGGAGGATTGCCAGAGCAACCATCCGACGGCCAACATATTGCATTGCCTGCCCGAAAGAGGAGGAGGAGGAGGAGGCGGAGAAGGACAATAATCAAGTCCAGAACTTAACGACAACTAAATCCAATTATTCCACCAATTCCGAGAGGCAGCGGCGCAACAGGAGAAGCCAGGAGTATGTCAGGGATATGCCTGGGATATGCCAGGGATATGTGCCTCCGAAATGGAAGGATATATATGCAGAAAATGATGCACATGGAACACGTGCGCGCAACGAATTTTCCCAATGGCTGTGGGTGGTGGGGGAGGGGGTGCTCCTGGGGTTACTTGGGTGGCTTGATACGTCCTGGCACGGTGGCAGATTGCATGCCGCCCGCAGCGTTGCATAAAGGTTTACTTTTCGTTTACGCGCCGCATCCCCCCGACCACCCCCTATGCCACGGAAACGGGGACAAAGGAACAACCCTTACAAATGCAATGCACACACGCATGTCAAGAGGCACGGAAGGCAGGGGGCTGGGTGGTGGGGGGAGTGGGGGGTGTAGATCCTTTGTAAGGACTACCCCTCGACGCTCCCTCACAGCACCACCGAAAAATTGTAATTAAATATAATCCGCTCAATTTGAAACGCACACCGAGGGGGAGGCAGAAACGCAGGCGAAGGCGTTGGGGCAGCCAAAAATTAAGCACTCCTCCCCACCCCTCTTTCTCTTTCGCTCTCTATATATATTATTTGCATCTCTTTTGTGCATCATAGAAAATATTAAATTTACTATTTTAAAAAAAGATCCCAAAAAATCGAAAGATTTTCTTTTTCCTTTAAAAATTTTTCTGGTAATTTTAGATATTTTTTCCCTTTCAGGGCATCCAAAATTCGATATGGGTTTCGCTCTAAAATTGCACGATTTTAACTTTTAATTAAAATCATGGAAAAAAGGATTTCCAGAATCCTTGCAAGTGGCTGCCCTCTGCCCTGTGGCCTTCTCTTCCTCTATCTCTCTCTCTCTCGCTCTTTGGGCAGTGACCGATGCGTTCATGCATTCAAAAATGTGCATAAATTATTGAATTAGTGCGTTTCACTCCCTTCCTCGCTGTCCTTCCCGCAATTTTCACGCTTTTCGTTATTAACGAAATAAAAAGGAGCAACAGCAACAGCAGCCGAAAAAAAGGAAGAACAATTTTTAAAGCATAAATTAAGGCGACAGTCGCACACTTGTTAATAATTTATGCATGACGCTGGATGGTGGTTGGCCTTAGAATTGTGGTAGCTGATGGTCGAGTTTTATGATTTTGAAAGCTGAAGCAGAAGCTTGAAGAATTCGGTAGCTGATGGTGGCTTGTGTTAGAGTATAAGAAATTCGGTAACTGATGGTGGTGGTTGATCAATACGCTAGCTGATGGTGGAGGTTGAAGTATTCGCTAGCTGATCGTGGAGGATTAATATGGAGAATTCGGTGGCTGATGGTGGAGGTTGAAGGACTCGCTAGCTGATGGTGGAGGTTGAAGAATTTGGTAGCTGATGGTGGCGTGTGTTAGAGTATAGGGAATTCTGTAGTTGATGGAGGTGGTCGATCAATACTCTAGCTGATGGTGGAGGTTGAAGTATTCGCTAGCTGATCGTGGAGGATTAATATGTAGAATTCTGTAGCTGATGGTGGAGTTTGATCAATTCGGTAGCTGATGGTGGTGGTTGATCAATACGCTAGCTGATGGTGGAGGTTGAAGTATTCGCTAGCTGATCGTGGAGTGCGAAGAATTTGATAGCTGATGGTGGAGGTTGAAGTATTCGCTAGCTGATCGTGGAGTGCGAAGAATTTGATAGCTGATAATGGAGTATTAATATGGAAGCTGAAGCAGAAGTATGGAGAATTCTGTAACTGATGGTGGAGGTTGAAGAACTTGATTGCTGATCGTGGAGGATTAATATGGAGAATTCTGTAGCTGATGGTGGAGGATTAATAATGAGAATTCGGTAGCTGATGGTGGAGGTTGAAGAATTTGATTGCTGATGGTGGAGGATTAATATGGAGAATTCGCTAGCTGATGGTGGAGGATTAATATGGAGAATTCTCTAGCTGATGGTGGAGGTTGAAGAACTCGCTAACTGATGGTGAAGGTTGACGAATTTTGTACTTAATGGTGGCGTCTGAATTTCCGTAGTTTAATTCTGCAGCTGATGGTGGAGTTTTAATTTATAATCTCATGGAGGATTATAAAAAATTCTATACTTAATGGTGGCGTCTGAATTTCTGTAGCTTTCGGGTAGAGTATAAATGTTGAGGCACAAAAAATCCGGCCCTTGCTGGTGGAGTTTGGTTTCGTTTTCGGATTGCCCTTTCATTTGTTTATTTATTTATAACACTCGCAAATGGCAATCGACGGATGGGGTGCGGGGCAGGGCGGGGCGCGGGGCACACCCGGCAATTAGTTCTCGCAGATCCTTGGGGATGTTTTAATTATCGCATTGTACAAAAATATGGCCACCCTTTTGTGTGCCCGCGATTTATGCATGCGATTTAATAATGCAAATTAATTCGGTGCCTTTTGGAGGCTTTTGGGGGGGCTATCTGTGTGGCCCTTTATTTTGCTTTTTGGGAGAGTTTATGAGGCAGAGATTTGATTTAGATTATGATTGGGGAAAGGGAAGGGGTTCATGGGGGTTCCTATCTGTTGCACAATTTGTGTGTTTTATTGCCAAGAAACAAAGTAACTTTTATCTTTATAGAGTACTTGTCGCAGATATAAACCTTTATAGATTCCACACTTCTGTGTAGATAAAGCCACAAATAATGATATATAAATGGAAGGCCGAAAGCAAAGCCCATTCAGTGGTCTTTGCAGCAGATCGGCGGATACAGAATGAAGGCAAGCGGAAAAGATGGCATCAGCATACGAACGATGACCGAGAAGGACTACGCGACAGTGAAACCCTTTATGAAGGAACACTTCTTCACGGGAGAGCCCCTGGGCAGCTCCACGGGGGAGCCAGTGCACCTGCAGAACGAGAAGGACAACGATGAGTATCATCTATCGATGATCAGGCAGGAGACGTGCCTCGTGGCTCTCCAGGGCGAACGCCTTGTGGGCTTTGTCCTGGCGGGTGCCCAGTGCCCCGAAGACGTGGAGAAGCATCGAAAGGAGGCCGAAAAGATGGAGGATCACGCCTGGGGTCGCATCTGCCGCCTGTCCTCCAAAGTCGAGGGCCAAGTGAATCTGTACGAACGGTACGGGGTCTCGCGTGCCCTCTACTCGCACATCACCAATGTGGCTGCCTCGATGAGGGGCAAGGGACTGGGCTCCCGCCTCGCCGCCGCCCTGATGGAGGTGGGTCGCGCCAAGGGCTTCCCCCTGATGGTCGCCTACTGCACGAGTTTCTACTCGGCGCGACAGAAGGAGGCCCTGGGCATGGAGTGCATCTACTCGTTGTCCTACCAGGACTACAAGGATAACGCAGGAAGAATCATATTTAAGCCAGCGCCACCGCATACCCACTTTCGGGTGATGGTTATTCAATTGTGATGTCCCATGGGAATATTTCTATAAATATTTAATAATTTTTAGAATTTTTAGAATTTTTTTTTGATAATTTTCCCCCCTCTCGGGCATTCCCCTTTCTTAAAAAATGTGCAACAAATTGCCAGAACAAACAATCAAGTCACTAGATTTTTCCTCTTGACTTCTCCTTTTCCCCTGCCGCACAGTCTCCCCCCTCTTGGGCCACTTTACACGTTTCCAACCAACAAGCGAATGGCCTCCCTTTCTCCGCTCTGCTGGGTCCTGCAGTGATTTCATTAAAATTTTACTGTCATAGTAAAAGTTTTATTATAAACTCGAGAAATGTTTGCTGTTGTGTTGCTGCAAACGTGAGCCAAAAATAACACCAAAGGGGAGTAAATAGAGACAGACAGACAGAAAGCGAGAGAGTGAGAGAGAGGGAGGGAGAGGAATGCAACCCCGAAACAAAAAAGGACTCTGTAGAAATCTCCCATCAAAAGTCAGCTCTCGCTTCAGCTTATATAGTAATTATGCTCCTCTTTGGTCTGTCCAGACTTCACGCATTACGCCACAGACGCCACAGACTCCACAGACACATGCATATGCAACAAGCAGTGGCAGCAAAAGCTGCAGCAGCAGCAGACAAGGGTAGGCCTGACTAAGGGATACCCAAAAGAAGAGGGAAAGTTGGATGTTTTTGAGAGGGAAATTTCCTTGAAATATTTATAAAAATCAATAAAAATATTTAAATGGAATTAAAATAAAAAACAATACGAAAATTGTATTACTATAAATTGAATAATTTTAAACATTTTAATAATCTGAATAATTAATTAAAAATTTATAACAATATTGTTAAATAATTCCTGATAAAAGTCGGCTTTGGAAAGCGGAAAATTAAGGAATTTTCTGCGTTGTCAGCTGATTTTTCATCAATATCTCTATGCGGGAGGCATTATTTAATTATCATTATTGTTACTATTATTATTTTTGTGTAAATATATTTATATTTTTCTAGGCGAAGACCCTAGTGCCCGCCAAATAATAATTATTATTTTTGCAAGAATATTAATATATTAATAATATATAATATATGTATAATATATATATAATAATATATAATATATGTATATGGTATTCTTGGTAATTATAGTATTTAAAAGCATTTTTTCTCCTATAAAATTATATAATATAATATTTTGTGTACAAAAAACTATCTTCAAGTGTTTATTAGTTAGTGTTTAGTTAGTTAATTAGTTTACGGGCTGTTTATTTCTTGAGTGAAAGTAGAGCTGACATTTTTCCTGTTTTTCCATTTTATTGGAGTGTTTTTTTGAGCTTTGCTACCGTTTTTTGGTTACTTTTCAGAATATATTGGAATATAATATAGTAGAATACCGAAAGCATCCCCTTGCTCGGCTCCGTGTCAGATATACCCACGGATACCCCTTACATTCGAGGGACCTGCATCCACTAGTGGAGGGACACCGACCTGCCATCCCATCCTCGTTCTCTCTGTGCCTGTCCCTGTCTGCCTCCATCATCTTTGCACAGTCCGACACCTTCTTGACTCTCTTTTTCTTCTCTTTTCACTCCTGCCTACTCTCTACCCCTGGGCTCCTCTGCCTCCCCTCCCCTCCCCTGCCCTGCCCTCTCCCTGTCTCTTGTTCTCTCTGGCATTTGCACAGTTTATGTGCTGCCTGCCTGCTGCCTCTGCTTTTAGGGCTAATGTGCTCATTTTATGCAAGAGTCTGTCCTACTACTCACGTTCCCCCCCTAACCCCCTTCCCCCCCCCTACCCCCCCTGGCATCATGCACTGGAAAAAGTGTGCAAGATGATTTTTTATGCGCCCAACGGCAACATCTTTTCATTGTTTGGTGTTTTTTTTTTGTTTTTTGCTTTTTCCTGGTTGGGGAAAATGCAACAGCTTGTGTTTATAATTGAAATAATTGCAGAAAGCAGACATAATTATATTTTCATCGCTGTTGTTGTTGTTGTTGTTGCTGTTGGCGGTGTTGCCTCCACACAGTCATTGTCCCCAGAAGAGAGAGAGAGAGAGGGAGCGGGAGAAGAGATCCTGGCAGTAGACTGAATCTGAAGTTGGCTGCAACCTGGCGGAGTCCCCTGGTCTGCCTTTGTTCTTGGTTCATTTAAAGGAATAGTTTTGGGCGGAAACTAAAGGAATTTAATTGGGGAAATGAGAGAATTTCCAGGGTTTTATAGAGACACGAGAAATAGGGTAAAGGATGCAGAGTTTATGAAGTTTATAAAGGACTGGGCCAATTTGTAAACTGTAATCTGTTCTACATTTCGCTCTTAACTCTTTTGGGAGACTTCCATTAGAGACTCAAATTAAATAATTAATAGACATTTCCTTATGAAAGACGAGAATTCGAACTAAAAGGATTTTTGTTTCGATTAAAATATATATGGAATTATATGAGTTTCGCATTTTTAAAGAACGAAATTTCAATTTAGTTATTTCTATTAAATATTTTTCTATGATCTCCTTTAATAAGTGTTGATATTAATTTTTTTGAAATTGATGCTAAATTGCATGCATTTTCTTTTTATTGGGCTGTAAATATTAGTGCCTTAAGTTTATAAAATATATATTAATTTTAAATTTCAAATATATTTCTATTAAAAATTAAATTTATTTAATTTAAATATGCAATATTTTTATATTAATGTCAAAATGTAAGTGCTTTCCAATTTCGTTTTAAGATTTCTACTCTCGGAGTAATATTGAAAATATATAAGATAGATAGATAGGTTTTTTTTTTATTTTGAGGGTATTGTTTGGTAAGATTTTTAGTCCTATGGCCTTTTATAATGTTTCCTATGGATTTATATTTGGAAATCTCTAGCTTATTCGCTGGAATGTTATCAAAAGTTACGGGAAAATGGGATAAAAAATAATTTTCATAGATTTGTGGAGAAAGGACAAGGGGGAAAGATTGAGCAAATAGTAGCAGAAATTGGAAGACGTGAATCGATTCGAATTTCTATCCAATTCAAGTCTTTCTTTCTTTCGATTTGGTTTTAGGAGTTCGGGGCTAAATATTCGTATGAATTGGTATTCATTATATAATAGATTCCATTTCTCTAGGATTTTTGGGGATTTTCGCTAACCAAGGAACTAATAAATTGTGTTTCAATGGATTTGAATTTTATTCCTTTGTAAGAGGTGTTCCATAGATATCCAGCTGCAATGGAAGTCGCTCTCTCAGCCTCTGCATAACCCAATATAAACTGTTGGTTCTTCATTCTCAAAGATCCTATTCGGGGGGCACCTCGCTTGTGCCTCTGGCTACCATGCAACCATGCAACCAACTTGGCGGCTTAGGCTTATATGATGAGTCCCAGCGATAGAGAGAGAGAGGGGGGTACGATGAACCAGGGTCCCAGACGTAAGCCCGAAGCTGTGTGTTGCCCCCGACGACGTGGCCAAAGTTTAGCAACGCTGAAGGAAGGGTAAACGAAGGGGTGGACAGCGGAAGTTTCCACCCGAAGACGCTGCAAGGAAGGACGGAGGACACAGAGCCATGTGGCTGGTCGCTTGCGCAATTTAACTAAAAGCTCAATCAATCATCTCTTGGACGTACAGGAGGCGGGGGGCGAAGGGGGTGGTGGGGGGGGAGGGGGCACGGGCATCACCTCCATGGCAATGCTTAATTTGTGCTCATCCTGTGCGCCCAGCCTGCCCTCATCCGCGGGCTCTTTTGTCAATGTTGTCATAGAGTTTCCTTCCTTCCCTCCTGTCGCCCCTCCCCCTCCCCCACCCCCTGGGAACCCTGGAGGTTCCATCCAGGAGCGAAGTTTTAAGCCGCTTTTCGGTCGCCTTTTGAAGTTTATCTGTATCCGTGTGCCCCTGCCACCTGATTGCGGCAATGTGTTGCATGCATTCGGGCGGTCCTGTACACATATTTGTGCTGCCATCTCACAGGCTCTGCCGAAAGGATTGGTTGTGTGATTATTTGGTGTTTTCCTCCACTGCCAGGGTTTGAAGTAGGAGCTTAGCAAATTGTTGCAGCTAATGCGCCGAAAGAAGGATTACGAAGGATCGCCAGAAAGGAAGCGAAGGCGAAATCAAAGTGATTCCGTGTTTAAGGTAATTGCTTGGAAATTGTGGGCCACCGAGGGGGATTTTGGGGTTTAATTTGGAGAGAGAGAAGGGCGGACCTTTGCCTTAGATTTATGCGTGGGAAATCCCTCAAAAGATGGAAAAAACGTGAAGAAAATTCGACCGATAAATAGATCCTCTTCGAATAGGAGAATTTACAAACATTTCGCAAAGAAATGACTGCTCTAAGAACCCATAAAAAAATATATTTTCTTCCATTAAAATAAATCTAAAAAAATGCCCAAACTCTAAGAAAACTTGCCTCAAATATGCGCTCATTTTTCCAAGAATATTCCTTATCGTCTACAGGGCGGAACGTGCCCCTAAAAGCGGGCCAAGAATAATAGCCAGGCCTAGATTTATCTCCCAGCCCAGAGAATCCACCTATGCCGCTCCTCTATGCTTGACAGCCTGACAGTGTTTACTCGTGGGTTTTCATGATAATCAAAAGTTTTTCCATGTGTTTGTTGAGGTTGCCACACTCTGAAACCACATGCCGCAGCACTCTCTCTCTCGCTCTCTCTCTCTCTGGTTGACAAATCTATTAGTGCATTGCTCTCTTGGCGGTTGGGTGGCGGGGTTCGGGGGAGAAAAAAAAACGCTGGAAAGAACAAACATTAGCGTCTAATTCCCACTCGCGCAACAAATTCATCAACTGCCACATAATCCAGCAAATTTTTCAGCACTTAAATTTTTGGACATGACCTGAAACTTTGCCCGTCCGTTGCTCTCTGCCACGTTTTGGGGCGCCTCCTAATCCCTAAACTGTCGCAAAACTTTTCGCGAAGGAAAATGGCCCCCCCCCACACACAAAAAGTAGGAGAAGAGAAAGAGGAAGAAGGCCGCCGCCACACAACAGAAAAAGCTGAAGGAAAATGCTCTACAAAAACGGGGAAAAAAATGTAAGGGAAAAAGTCCAACAAAAGTTTTGCAACAGATAAAAGT